ATTCATCCAAATTAGGCCTTAACATGCTTGAATTGCATGAATTATGTTCTCCAAAGCCATCATTGTTACCTAAAGCTCAATTAACTGAAAGATAAACACAAAAAGGATTAAAAGCACAAGTTTAACTCAAAAACATAACCAAATCATAAGCTAGAAGGGTAAGAAATAATATACAATTATGAACCGATCAATAGTCAATACTCTCCGGAACAGATTAATACTATCCGACAGAAATTAGTCAGTATAGTCAGTTAACGTTTTGATAACTAAAATTAACAAAAATTAACAAAAAAGAAGAAGAAAAGAAGTGTCTTCTTCTCCTTCATCGTGTCTTTTCCACTTCATCTAACCAAAGCTATTGTCAGTTGTTCATGTGTGGTTGAATTTTCTTAGCCACCAAACAGGTTTTTTTGGCAACTCATATTGTGATGGTTTAAGTGGAATGATACACTTTGGTTAAATTAAATCCTTTTTTGTATATGTTATTGAAGTTATGATTTTAATTTGAGTTATGATATTGAGTATATGAGGATTTTGCCTAGACAAATATACAATGTTAATTATTTCTTACTGGATTAATAGAAAAGAAAAACTAAAAATGGAGTACAATTTGGAAAATTAAGTATAAAGAAAAAATATATATAAAAGTGAAGTAAAAAGAAATTAATATAGGATAATGCTAGAATAGAAAAAGAGAAAGAACGAAATTGATTAAAAAGTATTAAAAAATCAAAAGGGGTGTAAAGGAGATTGGCAAAATCAGTATAAAAAAAATAAAAAACAAAAAACAATAGAGGCTAGTTTTGAAGAATTACAGGAACAAGAATCACAAAAACAAATATATCAGTGGTTCGGCACTCTCATTTCTTAAGAGAGGTCAGGGGTTTGATCCCTGCTCTCGTACGGAGTCATCACTTTGGCCAATGGTTTACCCCTTACGGGCCGACCCGGTGTGAGTGGGGATTAGTCTGGGTTGTGGTTAAGGCTTAAAGGTGCCACCCATAGTTGGGGCCCATCCAGGACCACCTCATGGTTTAGACAAAAAAAAAAAAAAACAAATATATCATCTTTCACAGTAATCACAACTCACCCAGGGTCTCCCCATCACAATGCTCAGGCTTCTATCCAAATCCCACTCTTTCAGAAAACCAAGCTCGTCATCCTCATTTTCATCCAGTTACTCGCAAACCCATATTTGCAATTCAATAGGCTCAACTTCAATCTCTCCCAATCCATCTGCATCTCCTATAGAACATTCCAATTCGCCAAAATCAACCCATATCATAAATGGGTATCCGCACATTCAGCTTCTGGGTCGAAAGTTTTGTTCTTTAGGATCGCAGATTGGTTCTCGACGGCTGTTCTCATCTGGGTATTGTCTGAATTGTGTAAATTTAAGGGCAAATGGGTTTTTGAGGGCTCAGAGTGTTGTGGTTGAAACCAGGAGTCCCGGCCGGTCTATCGGCGGCGATAAGGTTGAAGCAATTGTGCCGTGAAAAGGATGTTGATTTATCTGTGTGTGTTGTGGAGAAAGGAGCTGAAGTGGGTATGTTGCATAATATGTAGACTGTACTATAATTGGTTTTCATGGTACGGGTTGGATAGGTTGAATCTTTATAGTACTCTTATAAATAATTATACATAAATAAAAACGTTGAATGAGTTCTTTTGTGTGATAAATGGAATATCCCTGTGAATTGAAATGTCAAGATTGATTATTGACTTTTGTATAATTGAATTGAGATTACAGTTGCTTATACTTTTATCCGTCTGTCACTTTTCTGATTTCTAATAGGTGCTCACATTATTTCTGGCAATGTTTTTGAGCCACGGGCACTGAATGAACTTCTCCCACAATGGAAAGAGGAAGAGGTACTTATCCCCGCCCCCCACCTTCCGGCTGGTTTCTGTTGCCTATAAGGCACAGATTTACTTGAACCACCCTGTTTACCATTTTCCTTTTCATTTTGGCAACGCAGTTGAACTCTTTACTTGTGCTTTGATGTTGGTTCCTTTTGAGTCACTAATTTTGTCATATGTCCAAACCACTCAAATTACAATTGGAAGGTGTTATTGTTGCTCATGTTGCCTAGTGCCGTACCCAGATAGTTTTGGGCAGTCTATCGGTCTTCTCAAGTAGATTGCACTTTTACTTCTTTGTCCTTAGTTGAATACTTTTACTTCCGAAATAAAGGTCCGATCCAAAAAGTTTGAGTGGACAGTTTTCATAATTGATTCTGATACAGCTTTCATGTTTACAGTCATATTTGGATGTAGGCTATTTTTCCCACATGCATTCCATTCTTTTGCCCCAAAATAAATGCAGGGATCAAGGTTTTATCTGATAATGTGAAATGCATTACTTGCTCGGAAGTCTTTTGTAACTTACTAATTTACATTTTAATGCCTTTTATTTTAATAGATATTTTTTGCCAACTTTATTTGCAGTCACCAATCACTGTCCCTGTGACTTCTGACAAGTTTTGGTTTCTTACAAAGGATCGTGCATTTTCACTGCCATCTCCTTTTAGTAATAAGGGAAATTATGTTATAAGGTACTTCAAAATTGTGCAATTGGGTTCCATGCATTTTGCACCATTATGATTTCTTTTCTTTTTTCGGTCTCTTTAGTTCTGCTGGAAGTTATCAAGAATGCACTAACTGGCAGCTAAGCTATGACTTGGATATGAACTTTGTCTAGAAATTGTTCTGGGTGTTTCTCTCATAAGTCTATCTGTTCTCATCCACAACGTTGATGAGCCATTGTTTTCCCCTCGAGAACCCAGTTCTATTTAACGGCATAATCCATATTGGAGCTAATGGAACTTACGAAGTTCTAGTATTAAGCATGAGACCTCAACTAAAAGGGAGAAAAGAAAAAGCCAGTAAAAGTCTAAAATCAGAATTTTAGGTACCACTTTAACTCAGATCTTATATGAAGTTTTCTTATCCATGTTGGTCTTGTTGCTCCTTTGTGGTTTTGTGATAGAAATAGAGTCTTCTTGAAAGAAGAGAAACACTTGATCATCTTCAAAATTGCAACCTCTTCTTAAAGCTCCCTTTTGCTTCTTTTTTTTTCAGTACTTATTTTCATTATTATTTAATGTTGCTTTCATGTATAATCTTTCTGATACATTACAGTTATGCTTCAAATTCATAAAATAGCTCTTTACTGTGGACCTTGTGATGTAGTTTAAGTCAATTAGTACGATGGATGGGAGTGAAGGCAGAAGAGTTGGGAGTAGAAATATATCCAGGCTTTGCAGCTAGTGAGGTACTCCTGTTCATTTTATCTTGCTGTTTCACCACGTACTGTTGAATACTTGTATTCACAAGTGATCTTATTTGTCAGATATTATATGATGCAAACGACACGGTTATTGGCATTGGAACTAATGATATGGGAGTTGCAAAAGATGGTTCAAAGAAGGAAAATTTCCAACGTGGCATAGAACTGAAAGGCAGCTCTCTCTCTCTCTCTCTCTCTCTCTCTCTCTCACAGACACACACCCACACATGTTGTCCTGATGCATGTAAGATATGCACATACCTGTATGGACAAAAAAATATTTAAAATTGGAAAGCCCCCTCTAAGCATGTGTAACACATGTTCTGTTACTAGAATCTGGTATTACCATTTTTCTAGATTGTAAAGTAACTTGATGCAAGCTTTATAGCAATGCTGCATGTTCTATTAGGATTCGTAGATCTTTAAGTGATCGAGTCATGTTTTCAATCTTTCAAGGTTACTATCTTTAGGCTTTTTTCCTTCTTGTGGTGCCTGTTAGAACTGTCACAACTCCCAAGGACAGGGAATCATTTTCCACTTGCTTTAAATATCTCTGTGAACTGGTTTGCTTACATGTACTGATGAGAGTATGAGACTCATATGCAGGGCGAGTAACACTTCTAGCTGAAGGGTGTCGAGGATCATTATCAGAGGTTTCCAAAACATTTCCTTTACCTCCAACAGGTTCCATTGATTCTAAGCTTAAAATATTTGTTATCCACATGTAAATCTAATATCAGGATCTATTTCTATAACAGCAAATAATGAAAAAGTACAACTTGAGAGAGAAGGGAGATGCTCAACATCAGACATATGCTTTGGGAATTAAAGAGGTAATGCACTAATCAAAGAAGATAAATAACTCATATTTTAGATCCCAGTTGTATTCTTACGGCTGTTTTGGAGAGACATTTTAGCTTATATTTATCTTTCATTTGAGGATTAATTACACAATGTGCTCACCATTTATCAACTCTAACAGTCATAGCTGAGCTACTATCAATAGTTTTAATTTGTGCAGATGTTTATATGAGAATTGGGATTACAATGATTTTAATTGACAGTGCTCGGTTTTAGTTGCCCTTTCTTTTTTTATTGGTTATTTAGTTTTTTTTTTCTTTGAATGTCCTTGGGCGTAGTTGAAGTGGAGGTGGCTTTTGTTAACTAAAATAAAAGCAATTGTACAAACAGACGTACTGATGCTAGTCTGAGTTGAAAGCTGGTTTGTTTAATCAACCACATAAGTTTTTGTGATTTGTACAGAGTGTGAAGATATGCATTTTATAATACCATAATTCAACTATTTATTGGATGTAGTTTTCCCCAACACCATATGTTCTCAGGTTTGGGAAATTGATGAAGGGAAGCACGACCCCGGTGCTGTGCTGCACACTCTGGGTTGGCCCTTGGATCAAAAGACATACGGGGGTTCATTTTTGTACCACATGAAAGATAGACAGGTAGCTATATTTTTTTAATGAATAATTCTCTATTTAATAATGGTTTAAAAATATTCGCTGTGCTATTCAGTACTAAAATGTGGTTCTGAGTTAGGTAGTGCAATATTAATGTGCTTTTCACTTGATTTTTCAGATTTCTATTGGCTTTGTGGTTGCTCTGAATTATCATAACCCTTTCTTGAACCCTTATGAAGAATTCCAGGTAACTAAACCATTGGTTTTTCTGAATGATCAAAATGCATCACTTCCCTTTGGACATAATGCATCTTTTCACGGATCAAGGGTCTTGCACCTTGTTTGTCTATAATTTTGTTTAAAAAAATTAAAAAATGAGCAACAATTTATACTTCCTAGACAGACTGGTTCCAAATTCCTATTTAGGGCTGATTTGGTGTGTATATATAATGCGGATGGTCAGACCAAAAAAGTGTCTAATGTGTATATATGCGTGTTCTGCTCATCTACCTCTGCCCTATGCACGTGCGATTGGAAAAGTGGATACATGGAGCTTAAACTTACTCCTCATGTTCCTTTCTGCAGGGTGGGGTTAATATGTTTTTTTCATGTTTTAAGTGGAATAAAAGTTGCAGTGGAGCTTCCTATTGGATAACTGATGGAGTTAATAATTTGGGAAAATTTTCTCACATCTTTTAACATGTAGTTGTGCTGACTGTTTAGTGAATGTGATTTATATTTCAGTAGTGTCCAAGTCATTTTTCTGACGTGGTCAATCCTACTCAGCTAAAATGTATTTGTTTTCCTGCTGATAGAAATTCAAACATCATCCTGCAATCAAGCCACTGCTGGAAGGTGGGACTGTTCTTCAATATGGGGCTCGCACTTTGAATGAAGGTGGTTTTCAGGTACATTAGTAATTCCTATTTGTCCCGTTATATTTACATGACATATGCATGCACATGAAGAAAGTAGACTAATGGAATGCTAATACTTTGCATTTTCTGCACATGGCTGCATCATGTGCCCTTATAAATTATATTTCCTTGGAAAAGTTTTTAAATATCGAAAAGGATTTTCAGCCGTTTTACCCCCTGAACTATGACCCTTGTAGAAATTAAACCCCTGAAATAAAAAGTCAGCCAATTTAGTCCCCGACTTAATTGAAATTGCCAATTTAACCCTTGCCGTTAATTTTTTCGAATTTCATCCATTTTTCCGTCCAAAAAGTCACGTGGATGACTTGTGACTTACTATTTGATTTTATTATTATTATTATAAAAAACTAAAATTGTTAGAAAATAAAAAAAAACGACAAAAAAAACGTGACTCTCTCCCCCCGTCTCTTTCTCTCCTCGGGCCCTCCAATGAGCCGCCGTCCATGAACTCGAGCAGCACCTGGATCTCGCCATTGTGGTTGAAAATTTCATGGCACTTGACGACGTTGGGGTTGCCGACGTCTCGGAGGATTTCGATCTCGCGGCTGACCTGATTCCTATACCTGCATCAATAAGTTCTTACTTGTTGAGTTATGAGTATCAAATGCATATCAGGCACAAGAGAGCGAGAGAACCCCGTATCCATTTCGTTGTAATCGTCATCTGCCATTGTTGATTGGTGAAGAAGCTTTTCCTATGTGCCGCCATTGTTATTCTATTTTTCTTTTTGTTGATTTATTTATTATTTATTTTACTTGAAATTACAAATTTACCGTTATAGTTAACAGAAAATTTGGATGAAATTCACAAAACTTAACAGCAAGGGCTAAATTGGCCATTTTAATTAATTCGGGTGTTAAATTGGCTGACTTTTTAATTCAGGGGGTTAAGTTCGATTGGGGTCCTAGTTCGGGGGGGTGTATGGCAATATACTCTATCCAAAATTAGCCGCCAAATCCCTCTGCTGTCACCATTGAGTGAAAATTTTACTGAAGGGGTAGAAGAATTTAAGTTTTGAACTATGTTCTATATGTTTATACAGGGTAATGTTCTGTTGGTAGACATTCTAGCAACATAGCAGCATAGATGCTTATGTTGCTAGACTAAATCTGGACCACACATTCAGGCAAAAAGTTAACCTAAAATCAATGGTTTAGATTCACAGTTTGGCTATGTTGCTAGACTATCAATCATTGATCAGATGGATATTTGTTTGTGTGGAAACACATCTGATCTTGTCCAAAGAAGAAGACTGTACATGCATTTGTCTCCCCACTGGTGTGTTCTATGCTAAATGAGTGAGGAAAACGTGGATTATCTTTTTTTACTTTGCCCCTTTTCTTTAAGTCTTTGGTGGACCTTGCTGAGGGAGGTTAAAGCTGTTCGGGTTATTCCAAAAGGTTGTTTTGATTTTCTCAGTTCCCATTTTGTCGTATGGGCCAGGGGGAACCATGCTTCAACCTTATGGGGCCTGCTTGGTGCAGTCTGTATTTTGGAACATATGGCTGGAGCGTAACAGGAGGATTTTTTCTGAGTATGAGGGAGTGGGTGTTGGGGAATTATGGGATAGAGTTAAATTCTGGGCTGCTTTATGGGCTTCTGTCACTTCAGATTTGAAAGACTATTCTTACTCCACTGTATTGAGGGATATGGCTGCTGCTGTGATGTGAAGTGTTTCTTCGCGTCTTGTTTATTTTTAGCTTTTTGCTGGATCTTGTTTTGGTTCTTTCTGGCTCATTTTCTTTGGGTCCTTGTGGTGTTGCAGACTGTGTAGTTTTGGCTGGTGTCTTTGTTCTTAGGCTGTTATTCTGTTGTTGCTTGTTTGGCTTGTGGATGCCTTATCCACCTGTGTGTTCCTTTTCGGTTCTTTCAATAAATTTCGTTTTTATTAAATAAAAAAAAATTGATAGGAGACATTACTTCCATGATCTCTGTTTGGATCAGTATATAGTTGAATACATATGTGTGTGTGTGTGTGTGTGTATATATCATTTTTTTTCTGTTGTAAATGTTATACACATTCAAATATGATGCTAGTTAAATTTCAGTCTATCCCATATCCAGTTTTTCCTGGAGGAGCGGTTATTGGATGTTCAGCTGGTTTTTTAAATGTACCCAAAATAAAGGGAACACATACTGCAATGAAATCAGGTACCATTTACCAAATAGTTCTTCATCTGATTTGTGTTTCATCTTATTGTCTACTCAGTATGTCTAGTTAAGTGAAAATAATTCTGCATGCTGAAAAGTTTAATTGTTGACAACAAATAATGGTAGATTATATTTGTTAAATTACATCATACTCATTCATGGTAGATTGTATCTGTTATAATCATGGTAGATTGTATCTGTTATAATCATGGTAGATTGTATCTGTTAATTTTCATGGTTGATTGTATCTGTCAGTGTCATCCTTTCTTTTTTCCTTCTATAAAAGACATGTTAACAGCTTCATCTTGTTTGGACGCCCAACCCCTCAATCACCCCACCAAATTGATAAAACTTTTATGTCATGTTTCTCTAATCTTTGATTTTTTTTTTTAAAGAACTACGTAAAGATCAAGTATTCTAATGACTAAATTTATATATATATATATATATATTTTTTGAATAGAAACGATTGTATTGATAATCAAGAGGACAAGTAGTCCTCGACTAAGCAACAATAGAAAACTCTGCTTGAAAAAACAGGAACCAAGAACCAAAATAAGACTCTGAATCTACACCTCTCTAAGAAAGGCAGGAAAAAAACGACTTAGTAGACTTATCTTAACACAGCTCTCATATCTCTCAATATAATGGGATAGTGGTAATCCTTAAACTGATCGGTAACCGATGCCCAAAGAGAAGCTCAAAATTTTACTTTAATCCAAAGTTCTTCATAAGACACTCCTACATACTCTTGGAAAATTCTGCCGTTGCGTTCCCCCCATAAATTTCAGAACAAAGCATGAACAAGGCAGTCCCATAAAATTCGGGCTCTCTTCCCCTTTCCCAACACCGTCATTTTAATGCTAAGAAGCTGAAAACAGCCTTTAGGGGTTACCCAGATTGCTCCAAATTCACTTAACAGTTTCCACCAGAGACTTAGTGAGTAAGGGCAGTGAATAAATAAATGATCGATGGTCTCTGCACACAACTTGCACAACACACACCAGTGAGGAGATAGGCACATCAACGGGTTCCTCCTTTGGATACGGTCACAACACACACCAGAATTATTGGCTTCATAGGAAGACGTGACGACTTTTGTATCTTGAAAGCGCTGAAAGGCAGAAATGCAATCAAAGGGGTTGGGGAACAGGTGAGGTGATAGAGGGGGATAGGCAGTAAGGGCCGCACGAAACTCAGAAGTGCAGTGGCTAGGGTTAAGCAGACTAAGTCTATAACAGAGAAAGAGAAATAAGGGGAAAAACACACAAACTCAGAAACACACAAAAGAGAAAAGAAAGTGAGAAACCAAAGCAAGAAATTAAATGGCCTCTTCCTACCCATTTTCATTGGATCTCAACCTAGCTCCACCAACTCAAACATGGGGCCAAGCAGTGGCACCAGTATGGATGCCCTACTTTGCCTCTGCACGGGGGCCCGTGACAGTGAATGACTTAATACTCCTTGATAACGATGTTGCCCATGAAGTGGATAGAAATTTAGTGACTCCCAAAGATATACATGTGCTGAGGACAATGGATGACAACCGGGTCGTGAGCGATGCCCTGGCACTAAGTGTGCGAAGTACGGCAACAACCGCAAGTGTGGGTCATCGCCTACTTGCGAAGTCCCATGAGGTGGAGGTACTGAGGAGTCAGTTGGCGGCGGAGCGGAGTTTGGTTGAGGAATGTCAGAGTATTATAAAAAGCCTGAAAAGGGAGAGGCAAGGATAATAGAGGTGAATCGACATCAACTGGAAGCACTGCGGAAAGAGAATAAAAACCTATCGAAGATGGTAAGTTTTTACTCTCAGGACATGAGAAAGCAGCTGGAGGACCTAGATCGACCGGGTAAACGCAAGCAAGTAGATCGCGAGGGAAGGTATGCTCAAGCTAAGAGTGCAATCTTTGGGAGCTCGAGTGATGAGCCCCAAGAGGCTGTGCGTGAAAACCCAGAGGAGGATAGCCATAAGGCTAAACTCAAAGCTCCTATGGTCGAAATACCGAGCACTGTGAAAAAGTGATTCTAATGTATTATTGGTGTGCCTGTTTGTTTTGCCCTTCCCTTGTAATTTTTTTTTTAATTTAATTTATTTTTTTGTTATTTTGTTTCGTAAATAAAAGAACAAAATTGCCAAAGAAAAAGAAAACACACTTCCCAAACTAAAATAAAACAAAGACAACAAACGAAAAAGAAAACACACTTCCCAAGCTAAAATAAAGGAAATGCGACAAATGAAAAAGAAACAAAACACACTTCCCAATTGAAATAAAGCAGAGACGACAAACTTAAAAGAAGAAAAAGGACATGCGAAACAGAATGCACCAGAAAACAGGGATGAGAAAAAAAGTAAAGTGAAAATAGAAATGCTCCCTTGTAATGGACGCGAACGGCAAATTGCTCATGAAGCGAAGGGATCGAGAGAAAAGGGCAAACAGCTGGACCGCAAATCCCTCATCAGCAGATGTCTATTTAAGTCATGCTTCAGTAAGCTGATAATACCCTACATTTCTTCCTGCAAACTCAAGGAAAACCATCAAATAATCCATAAACAAAAACAATGGCATCCTCAGCTATGCTCATTGATGACCTCAACCTTGAGTTATCACTTGCACCACCAAATGCCCAGATAAGGGCTCCTCCAACCCTTGTCTTCCCAAACTCTTCCTATCACCATGGCTCGACCTCACACTTCTCTGAGGCGGTGCCGAGTAGAGCAATGCTATGGGGTGGCATGATTGGCACTCGGCTAACACCGGCGGTTGCACCTACTAGCAAGAACGCGAGAATGTGGAGCTCTGAGTGAAGAAGTGGCTGCCCTGAAGGCTCAAGTGGCAGACTTGCAGAAACAGCTCTACTGCGCCAATCGGCATGTGAAAACACTGCAGGGGAAAATTGAGGACCATGTAGAGCTGCTGTAGATTCTACAAGTGCAAGCAAATAGAGGCAATTAGCAGAAGTCTCGGGTAGCCTAGAATGCAGAAGAAACATGTGATTAAGAAATTTATGTATGCATTTTCGAGTTTATATTTGTAATCACATGTTAAGAAATGAAATAAACATTCGAGTCCCGTTTCTGATTGTGCAATTATGAATCAAAATCACTTCCCAAACTTGTATGAAACAATGTTTAGGAAGGATGAAAATTTAAGATCAGATCAAGTCATATAGAAGAATTGGGATGGACAAAAACAAAATAAAAAGAAGAGTAAACAAAAGAGTTGAACTAACAATAAAAGTGGAAATGAACAAACCGACAACCGTCTTAAATAAAACCCAAGAACAAAATAAAATAAAAGTTCAAAATGGTACGATACTCTCACTATCATCAGCATCATCATCTCGTGCAGTGGTCCCGGGTTGACTTGGCATCTGGAGGTGGGTCCAAATGACGTCAATGGAGGTGCTCATATGCTGCATCTGCTGGTACTGAAGCATCTGCAAATCTGGCGTCAATGGAGGTGCTCATATGCTGCATCTGCTGGTACTGAAGCATCTGCAAATCCCAAATGGCTTGGGGACAGGGGTCCCAAGCAGAAGTGTCGACACTAGGAGCAGGTGGGAATGGCTGTGATGAGGCCGGCCTGTGTGGCGGTGGTGGTGGCATATGGGGCTGGTGCGGGTGCATTGCGTTTCTGAGAAATACTCTTGGACACAGAAGTGTCCGAAATGGGACCCATGGGCTCAACAATTATATCAATAGAGCGAGCCCGAACACCTGAGTGTATGCAAATCATGCTAACAAGGCAAGGATAATAAATGATGCTTTTCTTACGTGCACAAGCCTTTAAGCGTTCAAAAATAATGTCAACAATAGGTAGGGAAAAAGGTCCCTAATGCAAAACTTTCAGGATCTTGACCCATACTGTGGGAATTTCCGACCATTGGCCGGATGGGTAGATGTTGTGGCGCACAAAGCTCCACAGGATGGCAAAGTAGGGTGTCAACTTACCCTGAATGAGGACATTCTTTTTTGTTTGAGATGCAAAGGCAGCTAGGTCAGTATAAAAAAGTGTTTCAGCTGCGCTTTGCAAGTCAAAATCTCTACCCAGATATTGCTTCCACTCATAAGTATCCCCCTCAGGCAAGTTAAGAACATAAGAGATAATAGAGGAGGAAAGTTCAACATTTTTACCCCGAACCTTAACGGGCGCTGTTTCATTGTCTCTAGGCTCCCCCCTAGGGAAAGCAGTATAAAAATCTTGCACCATAGACTCATTAAATTTCCCGTAAATACGAGCTAAGGGCAAGAGGTTTCGATCCCTAAGAAGGTGTTGGACTTGGATAAGTCCAGCGGATTGAATGAAGGGACTTGTGGTTGTTTGTGGGTTTTGCTCAATTTGGGTATGATTTCTCAATCTCAATCTTTTAATTTTGATCATTGTTGATATTTGTGTTTATTGTTGAATTTTGGCATTGTGATTGAACTTTGGAACTATGATTGGAATTTTGGCATTATGGTTGAATTTTGGTATTGTTGTGGCATATTGAATGTTTGGGAATTGTTGCATGATTTTTTGTTATCTTGCTTTGTGCTTATTTATTTATTTTCCGTAGATGTCTAGAGCTACAAAGGGTACCAAGAATGGTGCATCTTCTTCACTAAGTGCACCTTAATCGGGAGAGGCAATTTTCACTGCCACTATGGTTACTGAGCGTAACCTAGACCTTAGTCCCTCCATCCAATCCGCTGGACTTATCCAAGTCCAACACCTTCTTAGGGATCGAAACCTCTTGCCTTTAGCTCGTATTTACGGGAAATTTAATGAGTCTATGGTGCAAGATTTTTATACTGCTTTTCCTAAGGGGAAGCCTAGAGACAATGAAACAGTGCCCGTTAAGGTTCGGGGCAAAAATGTTGAACTTTCCTCCTCTATTATCTCTGATGTTCTTAACTTCCCTGAGGGGGATACTTATGAGTGGAAGCAATATCTGGGTAGAGATTTTGACTTGCAAAGCGCAGCTGAAACACTTTTTTATGCTGATTCAGCTGCCTTTGC